CCAGGCATGAGAGGGAGTCCTCTTGGCAGGTGATAGCAGGTTGCAACATTCCCTTCTTGCTTCCCCATTGACTTTCTGGGGAAGCCGGCAGAGAATATTGCAAATAGTGATCACAGGGCATTTGGCAACTGATCGTAAATGTAAACAGGATGCCCATCACCAAGATCACAGTCACTTGATCATAGTGGGGCAGTCCAATGTTTTGCAATGGTTGAAAATACTTTACAGCCATAAAGCATCCTTTCTGAGGCTGCTATTATTTCAAACCATTGTTAAGTGAATGGGTTCTAAGTCAGGGACTGCCTGAATGACTGTGGTGTGGACTTCTTCTTGTGATGCTGATCAGATGACTTCTTTTCCTTGTCATTTGTGACCTATTCATGGGGGAAGGATATCACATGATTTCATATATTAACAGAGGAGGTAAGTCTGTTTTCTTTTATTATTTTAGAAGATCATAACATCACAGGGTTTAAGAAATTGATTTAAATATTGTAAGGCAATTTAGAAATTTTAAAATTTAAAATGTGGCAAAATCAGGAACAAAAGAGGCAGTAAGGTAGAAACAGTATTTTTTGATTAAGTCAAAAGTTTTATGAAACAAAATATTTTCTGTCGTCTCCCCCAATACTTTTTAAAAATGATCTCTATCACAGTTTTAAATGTAGCTTGCATTTAATAGATGGGATTATTTACTAAGAATGTCCACTAAAAAATCTTTGGGATATTGGAAATAATTCTCTGTTCTTGGGATTGTAGCTCATGTTTACACCTGCACTTCATTTTTATAAAGTAGTAGTATCTGTATGCACACCTAAGCCTCAAAAGCTTTTCTCCTAAGTATAAGCATAGGGATGAAGAAATCAAAGATGTGGAAGAAAGTAGATCCAGGTGCAAGGGTGTGTCAGATTTACACAGATTGAATTAATTTTCACCTTCCAGCCAGGAACAGAAAAACATGCAATTGTAATTACTAAGATCTTGATTATTATTTGGATGTAAGAAACCCACATATCTGAGTGTACTGCTATAATGTCTGTAATGTGAAACTAATTAAGCCAAAATAATTTTTGTCTCTTGATTTCTAATATGGTTAACCTTAGTTTTATTGCAAAAATATTTTGAAGTGTTGGGAGTTATACTCATTTTGCAGGAGACAAATGGCCCAAATTGATGTGAATAGTAGGTTAAGTAATAATCAGAGCACTACTTAACTGAGATTAGCAACCCACCAAATTTAACAGTCATTTTGCCATCATAGTGGTACAGACGCTTTAAACACTTCTTGCAGATTTCTAGAAATAAAAATTAAAAAAACAAGAAAATTGTTAATAGCACCTGTCTGATCTTGATGAATATAAATCACCGGAACCTGATGGTTTTCATCTCAGAGTTCTGAAGGAGCTGACAGATGTTATCTCAGAACCATTGTACCATATCTTTCAAAAATCCAGGAACACCAGGAAATTCCCCGAGGATTGGAAAAGAGCTGATGGGGTTCCTATCTTCAAAAAAGGAAAAAAATAAAAACAGACCCAGGAAACTACAGACCAATTAGCCTAATATCTAAGGATTCCTTGATTTACAACCACAATTGAGCCCAAAATTTCTGTTCCTAAGCGAATCATTTATTAAGTAGGTTTACGTCACAAAAATAGCAGGCAGAACAGGTAACAACCAGACTTAGCAATGGCTAAGAGCAGGAAAGCTGAAGAAAGAGACGCAGGAGCTAAATTCTAGCTGAACAAGACTTAAGAACAAATGCATACAAAGCCAGAATTGAGGAAACAGCAACAGACAACAAATGCTGTCCCTGCAAAGAAACTGGGGAAACAGTAGACCATCATGTTAGTTACTGCAAGATTATTCAAGCTGACTACAAGCAGTGGCACGATATAGCAATAGTGGTGCGTTGGAAGATTTATAAGAAATATCATTTGCATATGAGGAAGAACTGATGGGATCATAAGAAAAAAATAATAGAAAACGAAGAAGTTAATATGCTCCAGGACTTCAGTTTTCAAACAGACAGATACCTGTCACATAATGCCCCAGACTAAGCATTGTTGATAATAAAGACAAAAAAAATCTGGACATTGTAATCCAGCATAATGGAAGAGAAAGAACTGGAAAAGATAACAAGTACAAAGATCTGCAAATAGAAATGGAATAACTGTGGCAACAGAAAGCAAAGGTAGTACCAATAGTAATAGGTGCCTTGGTGCAATCTCAAAACAACTGAAACATCAATTATATACCATTGGCATGGACAATATCACCATCAATTAATTGCAAAAGGCAGCTTTACTCAGAACAGTTTACATCCCAGGGGTGGGCTTCTACCTGGTCAGACTGGTTCTATAGAACTGGTTGTTACGATTCTGCGCAGTTCGGAGAACTGGCAAACCATGTCACTGACTGGCCCTTCCCCTCCCCGCCCACTCATTCCTTACCTGGCATGCACACTTGCGTTGGATTTCTTGCTTTCTAACTAATCTAAAAGCAGAGCTGAACCTTCCTTAGGACTGAAGCTTCTATTTTTCAATGCAGACTCAGGTAGTGGATTGCAGAAAGATAGATCTCTGAGTGAATCTGCGATTCTGCAAGCAACTGAAAGTGAAAACTTATAGACATGTTACATTTCATCAAAAACACTTTAGACACTTGTATTTTTTTTGGCGGGGGGTAAGGTAGTGATTCTCCTCTCCTAAATTTGCATGCTGTGTCCAGTTTATACATGCTCAGTGCAAAAAAAAAAAATCATTCTGGATGTTTTAAAGAACCCTGTCTAGAAATTACTATCCTGAATTTTATTTGGAATAGTTAGAATTTCAACTTGGTTAAAATGGGTAATATAAACCTGATTGAAAAATGTTTTTTTTCCTGGAAAATGCACATTTGGAAATATCTTTTCTGTAAATGAACTTTGGTTTCATTTGATGAAATTATATTGTCAGCTATATGTTTGTTTTACTAGTAATATAATATTTTCAAAGAAAAATGGGATCAGAGCTTAGGTAAAGGTAAAGGTTCCTCTTCATGCTAGTCATTTCTGGCTCTAGGGGGTGGTGTTCATCCATTTCTAAGCCGAAGAGCCAGCGCTGTCTGAAGACGTCTCCATGGTCATGTAGCTGGCATGACTAAACACTGAAGGCGCACAGAGCGCTGTTACCTTCCCACCAAAGTGGTCCCTATTTTTTCTATTTTCATTTTTTACGTGCTTTCGAGCTGCTAGGTTGGCAGAAGCTAGGACAAGTAACAGAAGCTCATTCTGTTACACGGCACTAGGGATTCGAACCGCTGAACTGCCAACCTTCTGATTGACAAGCTCGGAGTAACCTGTTGGTGATAATAATTCCTGTTCATAATGTTTGCCAGTCATCATTTCCTAAGTTTCATCTGATTCATTATCAGTTAGTTCTTTTGTATCCTGTTTGCCCATCACACCCAGATAGCAAATAAGCAAGACCAAGTTTGCATCAAAAGTAAAACTAGCCCTGGGTGTTGCCTGTAGAATGATGGAGCCTTATGCTTTGATGCCAAGGTGTCAGACTTATCCATTGTCCATCATAATACAAAACACTGTGGCTGTACTCTTCAATAATGTTTTAATTAAAGAAAACCTGGGATGACATGACTAGAAGGAGTCCCACCTACATTTGATTGACTGGCACTTGCAGAGATTAGAAAAACAATATAATGTTGGTACTGTTGTATAGTTATCTGGAGATGGGGGACTCTGGAGATTTGTTTTTGTGTACACTCTGAACTTAGTAATTTATACATAAAAAGATACATTCTACTTGGTGTTTACTTAATGTTTAAATGCTGTATTTTCTCTTTACTTCAACAAACAATCCTCAAGTCCTGTTTAAATTAATTTACATTTTAAAAAATAGTAGGAATATATGGCACACACTCTAATTTTAGGTGCTCCAGAGAGTTGTTGGTGGCTCTGCTTTTCAAACCATATCAAATGATATGTATGTATATATATATGTTAGCGTGTGATGGAATCTCTTAATGCATGCCCACTGATTCATACATATCCTTTGGTTACATACATATACATGCATGCATGTTTTCACACTGTAAGCCCAGATGTTATTTGAAGCAGTCATGAGCTTTCAGACTAGGTAGCAGTGGTCTAGTTTTCTTGTTTTAAAACAAAAGAAAAGGAGGCCACCGACATCCAGCCCAGAGCTCATCCCTGCTTCATTGATGCCAGCCATTAAGGTTTACACCATCAAAAGTTATTTGTTTGGTTTTGCCTTAGTAAATTGTATGAATTCAGTCATAGTGAACCTGAATTCAATACATTTTCTCTTAGTATTCTTAAATGTGTGAGTAAGAAAATATATACTGTTATTGAGGTGATTTTATTGAAGATGAGAGAATATCTGGCTCTGTCCATTGTGGCATTTTGCTCTGAATAGTTTTCTCTGAGGAGTAAAAACTTTTGGTCCAGGGGAATTGATTTGAAGGCCTCTGTGTTAAAAAAGATATTTTAAAGGATTTGTTTTTGTTATTTTACTTGTTAACAAGTTGCTACTGATGAGGACAGTTTTATTGACCATTGTTAAAACTACATTATTAAAAATAACAGTAGCAACAAGTATGCAATTCTTATTTTAGGGAAACACAGCTCCATCTACACTTCCTCGCCAAAACAGATCTGATTTTTTGTTATTGCTCTCTTGTATATTTCATTCTTTTGAAAACTCCCTTTGGAGTTATATAATAGGGTTGTTTTTGGTTTGTTAATTTCAGTTTCTCAGAAAAAGTGTGATTTGTTTATAGTTTTGTAAATCCCGCTTTGAACTGAAAAACATTTATTACAATCCATCTACAAGTAAACATTTTCCACCTCACTGAATACAGTGTAAAAACTTTAACCATGTTAAATTTTGTAGAATATGCCCAGTCTACATTGCCAACTCTCTGTAATTAGAAAAGTTTCTCTTATGTGACATAGGATTAAAAATATGTCCACTTTCTAGGGGCAAACCATTATATATGGAAAGTTTGACAACGTTCTTCTAGAGGAGGCTGAATTTTACTTTGTTTACAAAGGATCAATACAGAAACATGTGGTTTTTGCCAAGCAAGTTACTGAAAACACTCTTGAATCTATCATTCCAGGTGAGTGATGTAGCTCTGCTACATTGTCCATTTGTCTTCTTATTGCAGCATTTTAAACTGTGTTGGAAGGGCTATTAATTATTGAATTTTGATTATTTAATTGTTATCACAATGGAATCCAAACAACAGGAAGAGAGTTTTTGTCTCTTGTGTACAGTTGCTGGGCTAAGACGTAAAGTCTGTTTCCAGATAACTGACTAAGCATAGCAACCAGTGGTGGTTGAGGTGCCCAAAATGTTTAACCTTTTCTTAGGAGACACTGCATTTTCCACATTGCTTAATTTCTCCTTTTTGAAGTCCTAGCATTATTTATTAGTTTAAAGAATCAGGAATGAAAACCTTTTATTTACAATATACATTCCAATCTAAAGCCTTATAAAAGCATGACTTTGCTAGTTTTTACAGCTTTTTGTTAACTATTTGTTAACTATGGTTAGATAGACATAGGCAGTCCCTATCTTGTTCTCATGCAATATCCAAGCTATTTTTTATCTTCTTCAGATTGTAGACCAATCTGGATTCTGCAGTTATCAGGTGCCTTGATAAGTTGCTTTCCCTTCCCATTTTTTGAATGCTGTCCTTTCAGCACCATTATCATGCCTTAGCAACTGCAACTGGACCAAAAATTTTGGTCATAGGTTGTTGCGGTCACTAAATGAGTTGCCATGACCTGATTCTATTTCACAGCTGATTATACAACATTACATGAATCATGTGGCTGTTAAGTAAACCGTTAAGCAAATCCACTCCCCTGAATGGGCGTTCTTTGCAAGAAACTAGTAAAAATGCTGGAAACTGGCAAAAAATTGCGAATTGTCCCATGACTGTGTAATATTGTAACTGTTCATAAAGGTGAACTGATTGCCAAAGCATTTGAAATGCAATCATGTGATCACACTGAGGAGGGGTGCAACAGTCATATCTTTGAGGGCAGGACAAAAGTAGCTTTTTGAGGTAACTTTGAACAGTTGTTAAGTGAGGACTACCTGTAATCAAGTAGCTATTGGGAAAATCCTCTCCCCTGACATGCTAGAATCAAATATTGATAAATGCAGAAGTAATTATAGTACTATTTGCATGGCCAGGCAGTCTTGCTGTGTCACATTGGGTGATCAACTTTAAAGCTCACGTAATGCAAACCTTTTTGTTTATATTAATAAACACCAACTTCGCTGATGGGGCAACTCTATGTGTGTTTTAACCATAAATTCCAGAATTCTCAGCCAACATAATGTGGCTAGGAATTCTTCTGGCATGTTTTTCTGCCTGGACTAGTTGGTGTTCTGGCTGGATATTAGTAACACTTGCATCCCAATACAAGTGGACGGTACAAATTGCACCGAATAAAAAGGTGCAATGTAAATAAGGCAACTGAAAATTGAAAAATATATCAATCTTTCTGTTATTTCTAATATTTCTATGCATCGTCAATATACTGTATTTTCAGTCAAGTGTATACATGTGTATGTAGTACATGGTGAATACTATCAGTTGTTTATTTTCCCCCTTCACATATAGTATATGAGAATGGAATCTGACTTTAATTCCAGTTTCTCATACTTTAAGAAATGGCAATAAAATATATTTTTGTAGAGGCATGTATTGACTATATAACACTTAATTGTTATACTTTTTCAGCTCATAGAGAAGAAGAAGATGTTTCTGTCTTTGTGGTTATGTATGGAAAGGAAAGTGAATTTGTGATTCTGGGTTCCTCATGTATTACCTTCAAGCATGACATTGCTTGTGAATTAGCCTGTTTCTTGGTGAGTCAGGCCAACTGTCTCACTCCCTCCAGTCATCACACCCTTCTCAGTCAGTTTGATTTGATAGAGAGAGATTTGCAGTCAATGGATCATGATGTTATGCTAGCCATGGCCTGTGAAGAGATTCCATCTTCCTGGAATATTGTTGGGAATAGTACAGAAGATGGTAAGTAATTCTTAATTAATTAATTAATTAATTTTTATAGCATATGAAATTAGAATTATATCCTGCCTTTTATCCAACAGCTTGAAGTTGAATATGCAACACTCCTTCCTCCCATTTTCTCCCATCACAATAAAATTGTGAGGTAGTACATAAAATCTGTACCAAAATTATCCATGATTGGGGGTGGACTTGAAGCTGTGCCTCCTTGGTTCTACTATATCTTTGTTGCTGTATCACTCTTTTACTTTGCTTATTCTTTTCTCATGTATTCTGATTCTTATTATTTTGTATATATTACCAGCATAAAGATCAAAGACAACTAGTACAACAGAAATTAAATTTAAATTGTAAAATTAAATTAGGCACCAGAAATTAAACATAATATTATAAACTGGTTTGTATCCTATTACTGTTAATATATAAAAAAGCCAATGAGCTAGGAACATTACAAAGCAACCAGATTTTTTTAAAAAAGTTGTTCCCTTGGTACATCTAATTCAGTTCATGAATTATGCTTGTCAGCAACTGTTGATAATTCAAAGTTTGCTAACAAGATTAATGTGGCACCAATATGAAGTTTTCACTTTGATTATTAGCAGATGAACATTTTCTCTAATTTAAAACTGTTATGTAATAACATGTTCTTGTTATATAAACAAAAGGAGACATCCTTTTCATTGAAGTGGTGAAAAGAATGCTGTAGTGCAGGAATTTTGGTAACCAACAGCTTATTTATTACAACTGCTAATGTTTTGCCATTGATTGATTTAACCTTTATTGGGTATGATTTTTGTTTAATAACACCATCATTATGGTTAAAAATATAAGTGGTTATATTTGGATTTTGAATTCCATTGAAAACCTGGGTTTTGCTTGTGCATGGGAATTGTTTAGCAAAAGTAGATTTTATCTTATTTATATATTTGTTTTTAAATGTTTATCCTGCCTTTCATCCAGAACTCAAAGCAATATACCGGTACATAGAATGCCTGTCTCCCTGTGAGGCAGGTAAGGCTGGGAGAGAGTGACTGGCCCCAAGTCAGCCAGTGATTTCCATGATTGACAGTGGAGTTGTCTCAGATCTCAGTTCTAGTCTAATTCTTTAATAGTTACAAATGTTCTTTTGGGAACTTTGAGATATGCAATTCATAAAGTAATTATGCATAATCATAAAGATTACACAAAGAGATCTTATATATGACTTTCTGAAGTTTGACTTTAAGTTTCATGCCAAGACATTTCTCAAAGCTGGATTTCTTCTAAAGTGATAGCTGCTAGTGAAATTGGTCTAAGAAAGCACTTCCATTCTCATAAGGGTCCATAATTGGGTCTGGTGCCTGCCTTTGTAAGAAAGTAAAATCCAGTTTATTTAATTCCAGTTATTTTTTTTCTCCTAAAGAGTTTCATATAGGACATAATTATATTAGGATTATAAAACACTTATTGTTACACAGTATAATGTGATGAATAATATGGCTCTTTACCTCCCCATCTTCCCAAACTGCAAGACTATGTTACAATGCTTTCTTTCAATTGGTTTGCAAATCAGGAATGCTATGAGATAAAACTGGCAGAAATCTGGAGAAATTCCTAATTAGTTTTGTGACAAACATTGATAAAGGCCAAAGGCAGAAAACAACCTTTGCCAATGGGTTCCCTTCATATATATTAGACTGTTACTTTTATGTTCTGCAGATAGCATAATCTATGCAAGCTATGGAGTTGTTGAAACTGAAATTCAAGCATCTCAGGACCATCCCAGATGCTCTAGAATTTTGGTAGCGTTAACATGAAGAAATTTCTGACAGAACAATCAACCAATGGAACAGCTTGCCCTCGGAAGTTGTGGGAGTGCCATCACTTGAGACTTTCAAGAAGAGATTGGACTGCCATTTGTCAGAAATTGTGTAGGATCTCCCGCTTGGGCAGGGGGTTGGACTAGATGACCTACAAGGTCCCTTCCAACTCTGATTATCTGTTAAGTGCAATTTAAGTAACCTGGCTATTTCTTAAATAACCTAAAGTTACTCACATTTTATTCTCTTAGGGTTGCCTCCCTCAGTTCAGTGCTAAAGTACTTCATATTACAAATTTTGCAATAAAGTTAAGGCATGTTATACTTTTTGTTCTGTTCTGTCTTGTAACTAAGCCTGAGTAATCACGTGGGCAGTGGAACAGAATGAAACATGGGGACTTAACTGATGGATTTCTTGATGCCATGGTGCTTCAGACATTTGGCTGGTTAGGAAAGTGTGCTGTGTTAGATACCCATCTCCTATTTTGATAAAGAAATATTTATAAAGAGCAAAACTAAGATTATGATCATTCCTTTTGGGTAGTCAGTCCAAGGTGTGTACAGGAAACAAAGTTCAAAGAAACAAAATTCAGCATGCTTATGGGAAAAAGCTGCTGCCGCCTATTCTGCATACACTAAAATTGAAATGTAGGAAAAACAATATTAGTACATCTACGTGAAGAAATAGCCTTTACAGCAGAATATTATAATTTCACTAATACTTTGAGATGGGCAGCAAATAAATTTAATAAATAAATAGGAAGGATTTATATTTCTTGGTAGATCAGGATTTTTGAGATGAACTGCACGAAAGCTTAGTTATAGCTGGATTCTTCCTAACACAGGATCAGGCAAGCAAGCTATTTAGAAATTTCAACTGTCATCTAAATTGGGATCCCTGAAATATCTATCCTAATTAAGTATAAGATTTGGATAGAGTCATAAAGGCCATCTGCGGATTTAGACCTTATGATAGGCAGATCACAAAAGAAATCTCCACAATCCACTTACTTGCTCCTATTGAAAGTGCCAAGCAGGAGGCTGGGGGAAACTTGTTTCATTTTCATCTGCCGAAAATAGAGTCATAAGCTATTCTTTTTTCTGTATCTTTTTTCTTTTTATATACATTTTTATTTTACTGCAGCACTGTTTCTTATTTTTTATTATCTCCTCTACTTTTTTCTTTCTTCGTCATCATTTTTTGTTCATTTTTTTTATTTTTTACTTTGAAAAACTTAAAGCTACTGGGGAAAAGAACCCCCTCCCAAACATCATGGAGGATATCAATGGAAAATCTAACTTTGTATTGGTTCTCCAAAAAACTACATGTCCATTAAATCATCAGAAGTCAAACCTGACCTTAAAAAAAAAAAGACTATTTGCCTTGGTGCCAATTTCCCTACCCATCAGGCAATGGCACACTGATTGCTGCTATTATCAATCATTCAAGTTCTCCTTGCTTTTTGCAGATGTGATTTACCTAGTATCGGTAATGTTAGTTACCATTGGTAGTATTGTGAAAATCATGCTATATTTGGTTCTGTTGTTCTCTGGCCAGCCATGGTGCTAGATTCCCCATAATTCAAGAACCAATGAAAAACAAAATATGTATCTGCCAAAGAATGAATTTAAAGACGTGTTTCCAGCAGAGGTACTTTCCCCATTCTTCTGAGAGAAGCCTGCTAATGGTTGCAAGGAAATGAGAGATTGCCAGGAGTAAGAACAAAGAGCAGCTGAGACCGTGGCATCGCATCTGGCCCTGGTGAAAGGTCCTAATGGCAGAAGGGTTCTCACAATTCATGATGGGCCTTTCTGAGTGCCTATGCCTTTGGCAGATTCCTCATATTAACCCTGCCAACATCAGATGTCTCTATGTTAACCTTATTTGGCTGACTGTAACTACTTAGCAATTCAATTCAATTAAGTTCAATTAACTCTTCAATTTCAGATGTTGAATAATGCTTTCTAGGAATTATTTTATTATGAAATTAGATTTTTACCAAGCTCTAATGTTTGCTAGCATTAATTCTAGACTTTAATTAAAACTTCAAGAAGGAAACTTATTTAACTTTCTTTCAGAAATTGGAATTATTTCCTGTTTTTATTAATGCAGGCTAAAGATTTCCTCAAAGTGGATTAATAGTGACTTATTGCCCAATATATTTGTCATAGGATTCTGTTTTTCTGCAATGAACATTACATTAGCTCTATGTTGTTTTAATGTTAACAAAACCTTGAGTCCCATTTTTCCAATGCACTGCATTGCTTATCAAACGAAACACAAACAAGACTATCATTGGGCTGCATTTAGCACATTGTGTTGCGTTCTTAAACATTCTGATAAGAACAGTTGTCTGGGTGATGTGTAAATCAGTACAATAATACAGTCCAACTATAAATAGCTCTATCACTGAAAACAAAACAAAAGAAACAATAAGCAGCAGAGCCAGTATAGTCTAGTGGTTGTGGTCTTGGACTAGGAGGCCTACTCTCTCCTAAACCAATGAAGCTCACTTGATAACTTAAGACATCACTTAACAGCCTAAATAACCTATGTGGTGAATGTGGAGAAAACTGCTGTGTGCGTGTTTGTTTGAGGCTTTGAATTCCTGGAGGAAAGGTGACAATTAAATCTGACAAACACAAGTGACAACATAAAGGCAGAAAAAAAAAATCTTAACCGTAAAAGAGGGCAAATTTGTGACATATTAAAATTATTTTTAAATGCTTAGGAGAATAAAAAGGCATTCACAGGGCACAAGAAAGTCTACAGCAGTGGTCCCCAACCTTTATGGCTTAGCAGCCAGGCTAGGATGAGGGGAGGGGAACTGGGCCACATGAGGGGCGGGCTGGTGCACACATGTGCACACACTCCAGCCATGCACTCACGTGGTCCAATTCTTAATAGACCACGACCCAGTAGGGCGTTGAGGATCCCTAGTATTGGTGTGTGATAAGTAAGTAATGTGAGAGCATTCAGTGATTAGAAGTCATCCTAAAAATCACACAGTTCTTTGTCAGTTAGGAAAAGATAAATTTTCTCTTTTCAGAGAAAAGTGTTTTGCTTGAAAGGCATCTGTTCTCCTGTTGACTGTGTTGACTATGTCAGCTTTGGAAACCTTATTCAACACTGCCACATAGCTTGAGAAAGTGGGAGGGTGGTGACTTCAATTGTATAGCTCTAAGTAGACAAAATAGAATTCTT